CGAGTTTAGTCCGACGACGGAGGGACATGAGGGCCAAAAAGAGCGGAGAGTTATTTTCCGTAATTTTGGTCATAAAAACAAAACAAGCCGGCCTCCTGTCTGCTGTCAGCTACAATTTGGGAGAGGAGCAGCGGGGCGTCTGTGGAGGGGGCGGGACGTCTGGAGCCGAGGTATTGAATTGCACTCATTGCACTGATTTTTTGCAGGATTTTTTGATGCACCTTTTCTACTTCTGTTATTTGCTGTTTCTAAAAAAAAAAAAAATGCATAATGATATTACAGCTTTCATCGATTTATTTCAAACTTGAAACTTTGTTTAGCCTGTAAGGTGTTAAAAAAAAAAAAAAAAGAAATCGAAAATAATCGAATCGTTGGGTCAGAAAATCGATACTGAATCGAATCGCCATGATGGATGTGATTTACACCCCTTACTGCCAGTATTAAAGGAGGAAATCAAGCAGTTGGTGGCGGTAATGCACCAAAAGTTGTTTGCCAACCGCCATAAAACACAAGAAGAAGATGACGAAGAAGGAGGGAATCAAGCAAGTCAAAATGGCGGCGCCCGTCACAGTCAGAAAGTTATGCTTGATTATTATTGCTGTACTTCGGTGTTATTTAAAATGCCATTATTTAAACTGTTGCGTGGAGAAGATTTCGATTGTTGTTTATAGTTGAAGAAGAAGTTGTTCTCATTACCGCCACCTACTGGAATGGAGTGTGAATCGCGATGTGCAGCCAGACAGAGATGACGCGTTCTACTCATGCGCTCTTGTTATCAGAGAACCGAGCCAGGGAAAAACCGAGCCGAGCCCACCTCTGGAACTGGTCTGCAGTTAGCTCGGTCCGGTTGTGTCTAGCTCGGTTCAGTTCAGTTTGCTTTCCATTTACACACCATAAGTTATCTCAGTTACTGAGCTCGGACCGGTCTCTGCACGGTTTTTAAAGGGTACTGTAAATGGGGTATATGTCTCTTTAAGGGGGTGGGGTATTGGATCAACAGGAAACTTTTCCAATTCAAACCAGGAAGCAAAGTTCCAGTGGAAATAAAACCAGCCTGAGTGGATTTGCAGGCTGCTTCCTACCCGTTGCAGGGATTCTCCTGGTACTTGGGAGCGGTGTAGGAGAAGGGGGACATGTTTTTATCCACGAAGGAGCCGAAGCCCAGGCGGAAGTTGCTGGTCAGCTTCCCCATTTCCTCGGCCAGCTTGGTGCCGAGCATACGGATGGTGTCCAGGTCGTCCTTCATGGACAGCGAGAGGTCCATCAGGTAGTAGAGGTCCACAGGGTAGTCCTCCACCTGCCGTACCTGCAGGTTGAACGAGACGGGGTCTCCTGCAGGGGGGCGGAGTCAGCCGGGTCAGGCACAGACGGACGCCGTGAGCTTCCTTTACACACGGGCGGTTCTTACCTGGCCGCAGGCTGAGGGAGATCTTCTGAGGCGTGATACTGACCACGTCGTGCGCCGCCCCCGATCCCTTGCTGCTCAGGGGACGGCTCTCCAGGACGGACGCCGCGCTCCTCGGGGATTCGATGAAGCGAGGCTCGCAGCCCCTCTTTTGCAGATTTTGCTTGAAATCGCATCGTGACGTCAGAGAACGCCGCTTCCCAAAGTCCTGCGAGATCAGAAGCAACAGAAATCAGATCTTAGAAAGAAAGGCCATCCTAGATCTAAACCATTACTGGAAATCTGAGCTACGATGAGGTTTTACCACTGAGCCACATCAACTATCGTCGGGTAGATACAGCAGCACTCTGGGCTCAGACTTAAATAGTAACTATAGCAACACCGTGTAACTTATAGGCACCAGTTTAGCGCCTCCTAAAGGCCACTGGCCTGTAGCAAAGTCCCTGAGCTCCTGGTTAAGGCGAGGAAACGTTCCTCCTCCATCAGAGCAGCAGGAACATGTCTGATCGTTTAGGCTCAGCGCTAACAGGAGCTCAGCTTATTTTTATTCTTTTTATTAATATCTGAGGACAGGAAGGACAAATGGAACATCTTAAAAAATGACTTTCATAAAGATTTTAGACAAATAAAACAGTTAATCTACTTTTAGAAAACGAACGGTTGTTGTTGACACAAATTTAAAAGTAGTGTAGCTTAATGTGGCTAACTGAGCGAGCTAAAAGAGGCTAACCTGTTAGCTACCGAGCACAGCTAGCCACAGCGCTACCCAGCTCTTTATATCACGGTCTAACAGTTACTTTGTTCACCAGAAACTGATTTATTTTTCACTTTTGTTATCGATCCGGTAAAACTTCAGTCATTAGACACGCTAACGCTACAGATCTGCTGACTCGGCACACGGACGCTGCATGATGTTATTAACGTTGCCCTGGCAACCACTATGTTTTACATCATGGAGCCACATTTAGCCAATCAGGTAGCATAACGTCACCGGCAGGAAGCAGAACCGAGCAGATCTGGTAGCTACAGCGGAAAGCAGCAGCAATCCGACTCTAAAGGTACAGAAGAAGAAACCTGCCAGCAGGGGGCATCGATACGTCGAACAGATCGTGAATTAAGCTAACAGTTACCGATTAGCTTTAAGCTAAATCAAGAGAAAAAGTCAAATATCCAGATGCGTCAAATCATTCTTCAGATTAAAGATTCTCTGAAACTTTTTCCTTATTATGAAAAAATAAATAAAATTCTGTTATTCTTTTAATCTACTCCAGTATCAATGAACTGAATGTCTTTTTATGGA